AATTTCCAATCCTATGTAAAGTATGATTACTTTTTATTATTTGTCAAATAAAGATATTATTAATTTAAGGGGCAATTAAAAAAATACCACTTTTTGTGTGCATATTTGCAAGAATGCCACTTAGGGGTGTCCATTTACAAAAATGCCACTAATTATAGATTTATWAAGCGTATATCTTAAAATTCTAAACCCTAAAAATGTTTTGACACCTAAAACCTCCTAAAACTCAAAACTAAACTCTAATAGAACATAATTAACTCAAACATAAATAATATAAAGAAAAAAATAATTTTGAAAAAGTGGCATTTTTGTAAAGATTTCAAACGTGTGGTATTTTTGTAAAGTGGCACTTGAAAAGTGGTATTTTTTGAAATTTCTCTTAATTTAAATATATAATTCTTTTAACGTGTGGCTAAATCTAATTGAAAAAATATTTTATACTTGTATAAATCTAACCGATTGACTCAAACATGTCTCGATAAGATTGATTACATTGTATACAAATCCGAATTTGAAAAATAAAATACTTTTACCACTTTAATATTTATTATACGTAAATAACTAAGCAAAAAGTGGAAAAATAAATTACTATACCTCATATCAATGCGGTAAGAAATAAACAAAAATTGAATTATTAGCAAAAAAATCAACTTATAGTGAGACATTAATGAAGTAATTATTAGCAAATTAAGACTCTTGTTGATATTAAATACAAATACGCTAACATTTTCATCAAGTAATGAAAATTATATTTCTATAAGTTCATTAATTTTCTTTAAATTTCTCGCCTCCTACTTTATGATAAGACATACTAAGTACGACAATAAACATGGTTTCTATTTAACTGGTGTAAAGTTAAATTATTGATGTTTTTTTTTTGGTTGAGTAGACATTATTTGTGTGATGATTAGTGAAGTTTGAAACTGTTTGGTGAGAAAATTTAGAAAGCACAAAAGCTTCTTATATAAAAGTAAAATATTATAAATCCTTTTAGATTTGGGTATTTAAATCTAAATCTACTTGAATTTACAAAAATTTACTCATGTATCAAATTCTTTCCGACTTCTACGTGGTATTATTGTTATATGATAATGATATTAGCTAGATTTTATGATATCTCACGTGGACTAAAGCAAAAGAACAAAACCGATCGAGTAAATAAAGAACAAAATTTTAAAGATCATTATCAATTAATTATTTTTAAGATAAAAATTTTAAGACTAAACTATGTATATCAACTAATTTTTATTAAAATAAATAGGATTTATTTGACACATATCAAAATCTAATTAGGAAAAAGATTA